AAACTCTTCACGACGACTGCTGGCAAAACCTTTAAAAGGAGAAACAATCACCAAGTAGAGCTGCTTTACTTTATGAAGCAGAATACTCCAGATCAGACCCAAAATCTTTGTTCCTGGAGTCCTAATGAAGCAACAGAGGTGGTGCTAAGAAACCCACGGAGAGCAGCGAGGCTCCCGTGTGACTACAACAGATACCACTCACACGGCCATCCACCATCCCAGCAGCTGAATACCACAGCGCAACCACTGAACACCTGAGATGATGTCACAACAGCAAAACGTGGCCACAGGACCGCTTTTCACTACTTCTGATGAATCGTGAAAAAGCTGAGCTACAGAAACTGAATATCAGAAGTAGGATTTTCCAGAATAAAGTAGTCCTGTTCACCATAAAGAAAATAAATAAAAGATCAAGCTAGAGCATGAACCAACGTTTCCTCCACAACCCATAAATTTGATGTAACTCATTCAGTTACATATCTTCTGTTAAGTTTTACCTCTTCAAACTCTTTTAGAAGACTCACTCTAAACTGTTCCAATTCTGTAACAAGCTTGCACTTGGGGAAAAAGCACAGAGTCTTTAGGCAATATACACGCCGATTACCAGTTAACACATGCAAGAGTTGAACAATACCTTCTACTGGACACTCAAATGGTTTTGTACCAAGGTGAGTTATACTGTGGCCTTTCAAGTGTTCTGCTCTTGTGAAGGACTTCCCACAGCCTTCTACTGGGCACATAAATCTCCTGTCATCTTCGTGTTTCCTACAAGGGAAGGAAATTGCCATTGGCATGATTAAATCCACTGCTGCTTAAGTACTGAAGAAAAACTAGTAAGTGATTTCAGACAGTATAATCAGAAAAGGCTACCTTTTATGCCTCAGCAGCTTGGACATACTGGTGAAAGACCAGCCACAACCTTCAAAGTCGCAGATAAAAGGCCTTTCACCTTAAGCAAAGAAAGGTTACATTAATAATCTAATATGGAAATACACACTGCTACTAGAAAATCTCAAGAGCTGCTTAAATTGAATTAATTTAAGACAAGATGACTCAACTACTCTCTCCTGCAATTCCGTGCGGAGCACTGTGATGCCCCTTCCCACTCGTACAATCTGAGTCATCTTTAACTCAAGGCCACTGCATCTTAACAGATAATTATCAATCCATCTCATATTAATCCGAGCTATCTTGAAGGTGCTTCAATAACCAATAATAGCATTCTTCAAAACAGGAACACAGCTGAAATGGTTTTTTCTGCTTTCATAACCTGTGACTATATGGTGACTTTACATTACAGTGAAGTATATGAAATTGGTTTCTATCACATCTATGAACTTTCACTTAACAAAAGTGACACTTCAAAAAACCCAAAAAACAAACCCTACACTGTAAAGCCACAAGACCAGGAAAACAGAGGACAGTAGAAAGTACACACAATTGCCTTTAAAACTTAAGAGGCTGAATTTCAGCTTAGCAGTAGCCCTTGCAAGTCAGGAGTGCTTGCTTGGGTTGAAATTTATCTTCTTGCTGTTCCAAACCTTGGTACCCTCATTCCACATGTTCTGAGAGTTTTTCAGCCATTTGTTTTGACCAAGATTAGTATTTACATAACATTCCAAATGTCTGCGAACTTGGGAATAGAGCTAGGATAGTTTTTCTGAACAGAGTTCACATGCGAAAAGCCAAAGCTTTGCGATCCATGGCTACTTCACATTTGGCAAGTTCATTCACCAGCCTCCTACCCCCAAGAAGGCCAAGAATCAAATGTTTCCACTGACTCCAAGTAACTCATGGCACCCTTTCTCCCTTCATGACTTTCAGTTTTTCCAGCAAACTAAAGTCCACTCTCCACATATTCCCTCCTGTGTACTTCCCCAGGTACAAGTCACACTCGTGAATACCTGTGTGACTCCTCATGTGGATTTTCAGTCGGCAGGCTTTGTCATACTGCTTGTTACAGCCAGGGAACGAACAGGAGAACTGCTCTTGCTCTCTAAAGTGGGCTCGATTATGGGAGAATAACGCACTCACTGTGATAAATGTTCTTTCACAGCCTGGGGAGAGAAGGGAAACAGTGCATCAGCTTGATACAAAACTGAATCAGGCAAACTGCATTCTTTTCTCCCTCCCAACTTTTAGCAAGGGCCCTTCATGATCCTTTTTCCAGGCTATTACTTCCTGGCACACAGGAAAACCAAACAGCACAATCCCAGGGATTACAATTATTTAGCCAAGGCGGGCAGTCAAAACACATACAGCCCGGTTTGAAGACCTGTGCTGTGACTCCAAGCGTTTCACCACGCCAGCACAAAGCCACGCGCAGGCTGACCAGCGAAGGCGCAGCATCCTCCAGCTCCCAAACTTTGCCTCTCGATAACCGAGGTGGCACGGACCAAGGGCCTTCCTCAAGACTCTGGGGGCGATCCGAAGGGGAACGAGGGGCGGTGGGGAGGGAAAGCGACCTGAGCCGCAGCACAGACTCATGGAAGGGATCCCATCCTTACCCGGGCGAGCTATTTTTTTTTTTT